CCCCAAAACCCCAAAACCCCAAAACCCCAAAACCCCTATTGTAGAGATAATAATTGAGCTTAATTATACCTAAATCATTGCTACAATAACTTCTTTTCCTGTGTTTCTGATAAGAAGAACTCTTTTCAGATTTTCAGTGAATTTATTTCAAAACATCAGAAAATCTTTAGATGACTGCTCGTTGGATTTGTACGGCAGGTTGGTTACAACAAGGCTAGAGTCTGCGGACATTTCTAGGATCTTTCTGTTAATTGAGATTGCCTGCTTTTCGAATGGATAGGAGTCTTCAGAACCGTTGGTGTAGATGTGAGTGTCACCACCTCTCATCTCGATCATTTTCTTGACTCTATCTTCTTCAATTCTTTGGTAATTTGTCAATTTCATGAGATTTTGAATTTTTTGGTCCTCGTATTTATTCTCTAGAGCAACTTGTTGAATCACCTTGTCTTCATCTTTGAGCTCCTTCTCCATATTATATGAAAATGGTTCCACCTCTTCAGGAGATAGTTTGACTATTTCAATTTGAATACTAAGCAAAAGCCTGTATTTTTCAAGCATCTCTCTAACAACTTTCTTGAGATTGTCATGTTCAGATCTGTCCAATGTGGTGACAACAAAGAGACGAACTTTTCATTTGGACCAATTCTTGGATTGTTTCAGGAGATGACCAATAAGGAGAAGCATCCCTTTTGCATAGTAAAAACTCCAGATATCAATAGTTCCTCTATGCTTTGTGTTTCCAGTAAATGCATCCTCAGGCTTTAGGACTGTGATCACATGCCCATATGTATGAGCACTGTTTATGATGTGTACAAATTTCTTTATTCTTAATAAGTCATGTTCCCATTCATCAGGCCAAGATAGTAGGACGGTATTTGGCTCAAGGCCTCCAAGTCCAGCTGATTGGATCAGATAAATAATACCATTCTCGACGTCATTAGTCAGGACAACTTTTGAAAAAACATGAAGTTTATTCTTGCTGAGATATTCATCAAGTTGCTTTTCTTTCATTTTGGCAACTTTGAAATTTTGTTCATTATATTCCCCTCTGACCACTCAGCCATAAATAGCAAGCCCTGTTCCTTTTCTGAGTTGATTAAGGAGATTCAAGACTCCTGTTGAGGAAATTTCTCCCTTCTCATCAACCGAGCCCAGAGCAAGATATTTAGGACGCCAATTTTTAACATGGGTTTTATATTTATCAAGCTTGAGGAGGGCATCTCTCGCCCTTTCAGCTCTCATTCCTACAATTCCGTCTCCCCAATCCCTTTCTTTTGTCCTTCTATCAATATAGGCATATAGGGCTCCTCCTAGGATAACTGTGATTATGGCAAAGTACCAACTGGTCATGATCATGATTCACACACAAAGAATGAGTCCAGAAAGGGCAGTTAATTTATGGAAGTATTTCCATGTTGGCCTCCAGTTGGGTGAACCAAGCCAGTCGAGTAAAAATCATGCTGCATTGATACCTCCATATAAAGCCAGGAAGAAGATTGATACAATCGGAGCTACGTTATCCAAGGACCCAATTATGATTGCTAACAAGGAAATTAATGCGTTTAGAGCAAAAGCCCATATTTTCTTCTGATGGAATATCTTGAGGAAGGGTATCAAATTATCACCTGAAATTGCAGTAAGTATTTTAGTGGCTCCTCCTAAACCTTGTAAGGCAGCTCCAAGAGAGGAGAAGATTATACCAGCATGAACTAGGAACTTGAAAGGCCATGAAATCTCTGCTACAAAAATAATATCGTCGTTTAGGAGTCCTTTTTTTGAAGAAACTATTGCGAAAAAGAAAGCAAAAATGTAATATCCTATTGTTGTTGTAAGTGTAGCTGCTAATGTTCCCTTTGGAATGCTTTTTGCTGGATCCTTTAAATCTCCTGATCTGTTTGATCCTGCCATAATCCCAGTACATGCAGGGAAAAATATTGCTAAGAGTGTGAAGAATGATGAATCTTCTCTATAACCAGACCCAAAGTTATCTTCAAAGTTTGAAAATGACATTCCGCTTGCTCCTTCAGGTAGATCACTTTTTCTCAGATTTGAGAAAAGGATGCCAATAAAAATTCAAAATATTGACACAAGAGTGACAGATAGAAAGACAATGCCTGTCCTAGCTACGTAATTGATCCCAATCCAATTAATAGCGAGGATCAGTATCAGCACTATCAGCGATAAAAATCTCAATGTGAAACCTTCGATTGAAATCCCAAATCCTGTAGAAACTATGAAGGCTTCGATTGCTCCCAAAATATACATTGCTCCTGATATTGTTGTTGCGAAATAAAATAAAATCCCTAGTGATCCACCAATGGCTGGCCCAAGAGATCTTGAAAGAAGGTAGTATGCTCCTCCTTTACTCATTTTACCATTTGTACAAATAGCATTCATCGACAATGTGGTGAGGCATGTAGCAGAAGTTCCTAATAAAATAATTACATTTGTCCTCCAGAGACCAGCTTCCCCTGTTATTGATGGCAGCCTCAAGAAGAGGATGATACCGAGAATACTTTGTAATCAGGGAAAAAAGACCCCGATTACAGTTCCTTGGCTCCCTTGAATTTTTGGTTTACCATCTATATCTTCATCTCCGTCAGAATCTTCCTCATCGCCAAAGCCTACTTTTCTTCGAAGTCGGGGATTGTCGAATTGCTCACTAGAATTAGCATCAATTCTATCGTCTCTATGGTCAAGATTATTATTTATCTCGATGTCTTGCTTATATTTCTCGTCTTGTTCAAGCTCAAACTCAATCCCGTCGGCTTTTATTGAGTCATTTGCCCCACTTTTACGAGTATCTTGACGAGGGAGACTGACCCTGTTATAATCTTCCTCGTTCCCACCATTAGAAAGCCTGGATGAGAAAGACTTTTCATGGGCACTTTCATCCTCAAACTCGTGTTCATCCGCTAATTTGTTTGTAAAAGCATCCATTTTCTTAAAATTTGTAATAAAATTTCATTTTAAAATCGCTCAAATGGGGTTTTGGGGTTTTGGGGTTTTGGGGTTTTGGGG